AGGCCTATGTCCTGAATGGTATTACCTAGGTTCTTCTAGGGTTTTTAATGGTATTCTAGGTCTAACATTTAACCGTCTACGTAATCCCATCCTGAAATTAATTTTGCATACATAAGGAGAACAAAGGATCGCAGTTCAGGCGCAGTTTCACAGGCTTTCTAAGGCCTCGCAGTAAGCTTCTCGGCTACCTACGGTATCGGCGTCTAGCCAATTTTCCCCAGCACCATATTATAAATAGGAATCCTTTCCCGCGGGCATTCTTTGGGTTTTTTTTCTGAGGTTAACGTCAACCAGATCCAATGGCTGTAATGTGTCGGGCCCATCTATCTCTGCTCTGAGGACATGGATGGGCAGGCTTGGAAACCCATCATTCCCAGCCACTAATCTCCAAGAACCAGAAACACCAAAACCACCGCATGTTCTCACTCATTGAGGTGCAACTGAACAATGCAGACATCGTAAACTTTGGACCTCGGGAAGGCCGGAATATCATGACACGCAGGGCCCTAGTCACCGGGGAGGGGCGGCGTAAGCGGGGAGGGATGGCACTGGAGTTATACCTGATGTAATGACGAGTTGACTGGGTGCTAGAAGTTATGGGGTGCAGCACCAGCCAAACATGTTGCACAGCGTATAAGCATGTTAACTGAATACCTCGCACGTTATGCCACATGTAAGCGCCTAGAACCTTAAAAAAAACATAAAAGAAACCAGAAGATTAGAAAGTGTTGTGCAGAGAGAAGAGTAATCATTCACTGAACACTAAACAAACGTGTTGAATATCAAATGTACTCCTAGACCTATACTTTAAAACACGACTTAGTAATAATGATATATGGATTTCTCCCATCAAAAAGCTTTCACTATAAGTTAAAACATGAGTATTTTATGTCTATAGTGGCGTTAATAAATAGCATTCAACGAGTGCTCAATTTTGTTGCACAGTGCTGTGGTTTGAGTGTTTCCCACCAAAGCTCACGTAGGAACCTTAATTTCCATTGTGGCAATGTTGGGAGGTGATACTCTACAGAGATGATTAGGTCATAAAGTGAGATTAATGTCTTTTTATGAGACTGGATTAGTTTTCTCAGGAATGGATTAGTCCTGGTGAAACTGTGTTGTTGCAAATTGAGGTTGTGTCTCATGCTTGGCCTCTTTGCTCGCACCTACTTTTCCTTCTGCCTCTTCCCCACATTGTGACACAGAAAAACGCTCTCTCCAGAAGCCAAGCAGAGATTGATGGCATGCTCCTGGACTTTCAGTCACCCAATTCATGAACCAAATAAACCTATTTCTTTATAAATTATCCAGCCTCAGATGTTCTGTTATAGGAACACCAAATGGACTCAGATACACAGATTAAAACATTCTTTAGTATATCTCCAGACTTTTGAATTTGCAAACTTTTTTTCCATGCATTATCTCATTGAATTTCCAATCCTTCCATGAGATGGGCATTACTTGACCTCCCTGTATTTTATTAAACCAAGACTCAGGAGCAGTTCAACATCATAGCTAAGATAATGCAGTTAATAAATTGTGAAGCCATATCTAGAACACTGTTATTTATCTACCAAGACATAGCACTTCAGGCCATGTAGGCTGACATCCTAATTAATCTGTGAATATAAACAATAAAGTCTTATGATCACAAAGATAAGATATCCTCTGTAGAACAGTCTAGGGAAATTTGCCCTCTTGGAAACTTTTTATCATCTAGCCTTACATAAAGATACTGCATCTTTCTCCACTTATTATGGTCTCATCTCTTGGGATTTCGAGTTCAAACTCACATTTGACCCCTCCAGAATTGGTGTGTGCGGACACTTTCCTTGATATTTTAGTTCACCTCTCCCCACTAATATCTCCTGTAGCATTGGAATTTTCTGCTGTGGACTTGGATCCTCAGAATCCAAGTGCCGTTTTCTGTGCCAGTTGTGACCTCTGCTATAGAAACAAATAGGACCAAAATCAGCTAATGAAGAGAGAAATCTTAAGGAGAGCCTTCTAGCACAGGAGAAACCTAAGCTGGGTTTTGAAGAATGGGTGAGATAAGAGGAGGGACATTGGTAGTGAAAAGAGGAGAGAGCAAAATTAAAAGAATAAAGGTGAGTGGGTCTGGTGTGTACAAGGAAAGTGAGCAAGAAGCAAAATATTGTTCACTAAATTCCAAGGTTGCCACACCACAAATGTGTCTTCGGTCTTTCTTTAGTTCTTGAGTTATTGCCAAATACATATGTGTGCATGCTCACACACACACACACACACACACACACACACACACACAGCTGTTACTGAACTTCACAGAATTTTTACTTTTTAGTTAGAAATATGTGGACATAAAAGGCTTTGGAGGATTTTGTAAAGATGTAGTAATTCCAAACGCAGAGTTTTGTCAGTTTGCTTTTATAATCAAAGTACTGCATAGCTTTCAAGGTAAATATAAATTTTGTTATGTTAGAAAGCTCTGAAGTTACTGTCTTAAAAATTAAAGTAGGAACAGCTTCAGCAAATAGTTGCATAAAACATAATCCTAATTTTTTGATGTATGACTCTCATTAGTAATGTCCTGGGGATGTCATAGCTATAATTGATGCTATTCATTATCTGTTTGACATACTATGATACACAAAGATAAAGGGGGAAAGAGAAGAAATCTAGAGTGTTTGCCCACCTACTAAGTGACAAGAACTGTGCTTGCTTGATATTTTTCATCATTACCTTTTCCTAATGGTTCTATATTATAAATACTATGCATATTTACAAGATGACAAAAATGAGAAACAGGTTAAATTACTTTGCCAAGGTCAAACACCTTGTACTTTTTGAAACCAGGCTTTAAGTTCAAATCTGTTCGTTGTCAAAGTCCATGATCTTTACATAGTTTCAATTGTATATTGTGATTAGCCAATGGATACATTACTCTCATCTTGGAATATGCATATATAGTTCTAGAAAATTGATATAAAAATGACTTGCTTGGTTTGTTTCACTGATGTATTCATAAACTTAGTTGGAAGCAATGCTAGTTTTGTTTCACTTCAGAAATAAAATGCACTGGTGTTTATGCATAACAACATTTGTCATTTTAATATTATGAAATTAATTCAAGAAATTGTCTTTATTAAAATAAAATGACAATGAAAATACTTTGCTTTTATGGTGTTAGTCAGAATAGGTGAGGTTATATTATAAAAAATCCCAAGTGTTGATGAATTAACACAGTGTGAGTTTATTGTTCTCTCATTTTATAGCTTAAATCATTGATGAAAATGTGGGAGGGGAATGT